TTTAGTTCACTTTAAAAAAAACAAATAAATGCAGGTTTTATCTATATTTGGTCCATGCTGTTTATCCACACACTGGTTTGGATAAACCTCAAATGAAGAGAAGGATACTGTATAGTATACAGACACTAAAAAGGCATTGTGGAGGGAAAGAAGGAGAAGTGCAGTTAACTTGGGGATCCTGGAAGACATCCTGGAAGCAGTGGCCTTATAAATGAATGAGTTTTGAGGCAGGATTGTGGGAAGAAGACTAGAGGCAACTGCATTCAGCACCAGGGTGGAGATTTTGATCTCAGCCAGTTGGAGGACCAGGACAGCTGTGGCAGTGAGTCTTCTTCCAAACCTGACTGTCCACCATAATGGCCTGGTGTAGACCTCCTGGACTTGTCTCAAGTTTCTTGAGCCAGGACTGTGGATGGAAGGCGCTGACTCCTGCTTCATGGAGTTTTGAGGTGATGGTTCTACAGCCTATCTAATTGGGACAGCAACAGAGTCACTAGGAGCTTTCCTCCCCCCATGTGTCTTATTCCTTTGTTTGCTTTGGAAAGAAGCACCAGCAAAACAGATCTTGGAGCTCTCACTGCAGATTTCTGGCAGTTCAACAAGTCCTCAATGGGACAGGAAAGAGGTGGATCTTGTTGCCTGTGCTTTTCTCAGTTACTACCTAAGTTTCTGATTAAGTAGCATTACCTATACTATGTTCGCAGTGACAGTTCTCTACCAGTTCCATGGAGAGAGAGTGAGAGACTGTTCTGCTAGTTAATTTGTGATTGTGCTGAACAATGGTACAATAATAAAAACATTTGTACAATAATAAAAACATTGCTTTCAGAAGCCCTTTGTAGGCATAATAGCTTGAAAAAAGAAAGAAGGCTGAATGAGGGCAGAGAGAGAGAGATCCTTCCTTCTACTACACTTGGTAAATGAATGGGTATCAAAATCTATTATTCTCCTTTTCTCTTCATCTTCTTCAGTATCCTCATATCTTTCCATTTTTCTGTAGGTTTCTGACTTGCCAGACATGATAACATACATTTTTAACCTCAGTACTCAAGAAGCAGAGGCAGGAGGATCTCTATGAGTTCCAGATCAGCCAAGGACTACAAAGTGAGACCTTGTCTCAAACAAAACAACAAATACTACTTGAATCAGTTCGTGAGCCAATAGTCCTGCTTAACTTTTTAAAATTTACATTAAGTAATAATGTAATAGAAATTGTGTATATGTGCGTTTATGTGTACGCCTCTGTATGTGTATGTCTCTTTCTCTCTCTCTCTCTCTCTGTGTGTGTATCTATGTTTGTAAGAACAAGAGGACAATTTGTGGGAGTCGAGTCTCTCCTTCCCACCATGTGGGTTCAGGGCAGAAGTGGTGACAAGCACTTTAACCAGCCTAGCCATCTCAGCATCTTTAATCTATTTTTGTAACATGTCAACATGAGGTTTGAGAAGGCCAACATTGAGAGCCTTGAGGTACATAGTCTTCAGAATGATTTACCTGGCATTTATCCAGAACACGCCCTCCCAAGGTATTTTGTTCTTTTATACTGGTCAGCCTCATTGACAAGCTCTCATTTCTGCCCTACTAAGTCTACAGCCTTGCGGTCCATATGAGCCATGCATAGTGTCACTCAGTGCTATTCCTTTGGGACAGAAAAGCATCTACTCCCTTCACAATGTAGTATCAGGCATTGTCCTCGACACTTTTCTACCAGAATTATTAATTCAGTCAACATATGAGACTACAACTGTAGCTGTATCAGAAACCTCTCTGTACTGGGGTCACCCAGGGAACCAAATGTGGTTTTCCCCAGGTCAGGGAGCTTGCTGTCTATGGCGGAAGTCCTCACCGTGAGGTGTGTCAGGGACAGGCTTTAGTTATGAAACAAAAATCATGTAAATCTTACTAGTGACAATATCTATATACATGCTAAGGTACTAAAAGTTTTGTGCAACTTCAAAAAGGCACTGAATGGGCTGAGGCCAATCTTGGGTGTGCTGAAATACAAGAAAATTGCTGGGTTGCAAGCAAGCACAGTAATCCACTAGAATGGATTAGAATCCATTAGAGACATTGGTATAAGCAGGTCAAACAGTTGCTCCAGAAAGGGTAATAGTAAGATGCAGAAATGTTTTTGGGGAGAGACAGGTCAAAGGCATCTTCTAAAACACAGCTCAAAAGAAGTCCCATGATAGGCTCTATAATGAGAGTTAAGATGAGGGTATAATAGTCCCAAGCAAAATGAAGTTAGATGTGCATAGACAAGAAAAAGATCTTGGCAGAAATGGGCTATGAGTTCTGAAAGAGTGATTGGGATTAGACTAGAGCAGGCATTATGACTCAGACTGGAAAACCATTGGACCACCATCATCGACTCATTGTCTGAGTGCTGGACCACAGCATCAAAGTTGGCAGGAATTCACCAAGAAGAGAAGGTCTATGGAACACCCAATCTGCACCCAAGTGTGCCCTGTATATGAAGCAGGGGCAACTTTTGGCTTTGTGCTTGGCTTTCCTAGAAGGGAACTCTCCCAGTGGCTTTTTCTATGTGGCTGGAGTCCATAGGCAGAGAGGAGAAAGGATGCCTGGGTTACTCAGCTGACTGAGCACAAACTAAAGGAATTAACCATCAACTATAGTGGGGGAAGGGAGGCTAAGATCCTCTGGATTGGAGATGAGAAAGGAGGAGGGAGTTGCCTGCGGCTGAAGCTTTGAACCTGATCTTTCAAGCTCAACAGGAACACTGCAACCAGCAATGACTCTTATGGCTCCTGACTTGGCACTTCTAAGCCTCCCTCTTTGGAAGAGCATGGGGGTTGGGGATTAGGGGCTGGGGTGGATTTTTAAAGGAACTAAGAGAATGCTCTGACTTGTCACTAACCATTTCAGAGAGTGCTAGGAAAGACTGTGGGCTAGTGAGCTTTCCCTGTTCTTTAGGGAAGCCCACTTGGGGTCAAAATATGAGTTGGGTGCTTGAGAATGCCTGAGAGTTTGGGTTACAGACTTGGCCTCCCAAGTCCATGGAATGACTGACTGGATTAATCTCTTCAGTGAGTTGGCTCTTTGCTCTCTTCTCAAAGGCACATTTCATAGCTCACTCAGCACCTGCATAATGGCTTTGCTATCATTGTCACCTGAGTTTGCATTTTGGCTCCACTGCTAAATCTTGAGTCACTAATCTCAGAGTTCAGTGAGGCCACAAGATAATAGTTATTTGTTCCTCACTGGCTTACACTGAGAGAATGCCTCACTAGACATTCATTAATGCACTTTGTTATTTTGTTCTAAAATTTAGTGTATCTGATCTGTATGATGATAAACATGATCCTAAAGTCCATTGTCTAGTCTGGTTTTCTTGATGGCATCTGTGATTCCCTCAGGTAAAGGAATCAAAGGGTCTGAGACTCAGCTTGTTTGTTTCTAGCAGGCTTTATTTAAGAGACACTCTGTCCCACAGATTCTAGGGTTTGGGGTAACATTTCTACCTCTAAAATGTTCAGCTGTTGGGTGCAGGAGTTTGTGTGAAAGCAGTCAGAGCCCAAGCAGAGCTGCAGAGGAAAAAAGACAGCTGCAAGTTTGTCTCTGAATAAATCAGACTGTGACGTTTATTGGGCTATTTCCAGAATAACACCAGCAAGCAAACTGGCATGCTGGATTACCTTTTCCAGGAAGGAACTTTGCTTAGGAGCCTGGAATAACCAGCCCTGTGGTTTGGGATGAGACTGGTTTAATGGGAATGTCACAGGTTTGGAGGCACACAAACCAGGGTTAGTTCTGTGTCTCTTCCCTCTTATAAGAGATTTAGGATGAGTTATTTAGCCTGAGCCTCATTTTCTTCACTTAAAAAAAAAGCTATGTCATAAGCCATACATGGTGGCTGTAGGTGTTAGAAAGTGAGAAACTGCCTTAATAAATACATGGTATTTGCCAATGTTTGAAGCCAGATGGAAATCCAGAAACCTCTGGACTTGGAACCATCATTTCTTAAAATTTTATGTCTGGTACAGGATGGAAGTGGGGGAGGAAAAGACAGCAAGGCCAGGGTGGGTGGTTAGAGAGGAAAAAGATCAAAAGGCCTATAAATATCTGTCAAACTTTAAAATGCAAATTCTCTGCCTGTGGCCCAGTTGGGACCCAATCTTTCATTATCACCTTTCTGGGAAGAACTGCAGAGGGGGTTGCCCCCCCCCCCCATAGTGAGGAAGGTAATGATTATTTCCCTACTTGGAGCATTTTGGTTCGGTATAGCATCACTTTGTGACCAAATGGGGTATGTGATAAATATTTCATTCAAATTAGACCTAGAAATGTAGGCAGTTAAGAAGCTAATTACACATGATTTTCTTTGCAAGTAGATTGTGATTCTCACAAGTAAAAGAAACTGCACAATCCTTATCATAACTCTTTTTTTGGGTGGAGGAAGGAGGGTTGAGATATGATTTTTCTATGTAGCCCTGGCTGTCCTGGGACTTGTTATATAGACCAGGCTGCCCCTGAACTCAGAGATCCTAGTGCTGGGGTTAAAGACAGGTACCACCATGCCTGGATTTATCATAATACAATATACATGATTCTTGTTATAGTGTTCATGCTGACTAGCTGATGAATGAGTGGAAGGATGAGTAGATGTGTGGATGGTGAATGTGTGGATGTTGAATGAAGGCGTAGATGGTATGATAGTAAATGGATGGATGGAGGGAAGGAGGGAGTGACGGTAAATGGATAATGGATGAATGATAAACGGATGACTAGGTGGTGGGTGCATGGATGGTAAATGAATGGATAGATTGATGTATGAATGAATGTATGTTAACCTTATGTCATTTTTACTAGTTGGTCACCTAGTTCTCAAGCACCCCTCCACTAGGCTTCACTAGAAACTGGTGAGCAGCATCATTCGGAAGAACATCTGTGGTCCTCTGAGGAACTCTTGGATAAGCCACGATCTTCTCTCCGGTGGCTGGCGTTCTGATCAGTCTCACACCCTGCTGCTGCATGAAGCTTCAGGGAAGCTTTGCCTCAGTAGTTTTCTCAAAGCAGTTGCTCTTCTCTTGCGAGTCACACTGTTGGTGACTGATTTCTGTAGAAAGTGAAGAACTTTAGGTAAACCCCACAGAGGAGACCTGAGCATAAAAGGCTCAATAAATGCTTAGCATACATTTTGAGCTATACGTTTCCTCCACCATAACCATAACCATCAGTCAGAAACAAAGAAACTCCTTCCTTGCTTTCCCATCTCTCCTTTTCCTGCTAGCTCTATTTTTTCATGAAAATGTATCTAGTTTTTTTTTTCACACAAAAGAATCTAACCAATGCACCAGGCTAGAATTCCTTAAAATGTGCAGCATTTATTAGATTCTTTCCTGCCTCTATTTCCTCAGCTAAGTATTATCCAAGAATCAGAGCTTTCTCTTCTCCTTCTCTAAATGACACCTGCCACTCAAAGCTCCTCTGATGAGTCCCTTCATCTCAGGAAGCAACCTCTTCCAGTAGCATTTTGAGGCCTGTAACGACATTCTTTCCAAACAGCATTTATTATGCTTGTTATTCTTTTCTCCCTAATTTATTTTTTATGTACATGAGTGTTTTGCCTATGTGTATATCTGTGTACCTCATGTATACAGTGCTCACAGAGGTCAGAAAGATCATTGGATGCTAGAGTTACAGATGATTGTGAGCTACCATGTGGGTGCTGGGAATTGAATCCAGGCCCTCTAGAACAGTCATTCTCAACATTCCTCACGCTGCAAACTTTTAATACAGTTCTTCATGTTGTGGTGACCCTAAACCATAAAATATTTCATTGCTACTTCATAACTGTAATTTTGCCACTGTTATGAAGCATAATATTTTTTGTGCTCCAACAATATTATATTTTATTTTTAATTTATTCTTCTTTCATACATTAAACAGGGATATCTTTTTCCTCCCTGAACTGCTTTTAAGATTAGTTAAAAGCTGGGCGCCATGGCATACACCTGTAATCCCAGCACTCCGGTAGGCAGAGGCAGGTGGATCTCTGTGAGTTCGAGGCCAGACTGATATACAGAGTGAGTTCCAGGACATCCAGGGTTCTTAACACAGAAAAAACCTGTCTCAAAACAAAACATAGTTAAAAGAAGAAAAGAAGATGATGATGAAGAAGGAGAAAAAAAAAAAAACAGTTAACATGAGCAAAGGGCATGTTTCATTGCAGGTACCACGAAAAGGACATTTATTTTTGACCTAAACATGGAAAAGGAGACACTTTTAGCCATTGCTTTATTAGGAACGGGGCATGTGACAAATGGCACAGATGTAGAGCTGTGGAGAAGGAAGGCAAGCCTAGGAGGTCTGGGTACATGGCCTGCCACTCTCATTCTGCTTCCCTCTTAAATACCCCTGCCACCTTCACACACACACACACACACACACACACACACACGCAACATACACAGACTAATTCTGAGGATATAAACAAACTTATGATTTCTTGTTCATTGAGACTGGTTTTCTGAGATTCTGGACTACTTTGGTAATCAATTTGCCATGAGTCTCATGTGAACTATGTGGAAACCAAGTTCCTGGCCAAGAAGCCACATGTGGGAGAGAGGACAGAGTGAGCTTGGGACTTGGGCTTTCTTTGGGTTCGAATCCTGGTCATGCTGCTTGTCCGATGTTTAATTTGAATAAGCCCCTCATATATAAATAGAGGAAAAGTGTCCCTCAGAGCTGTTGCACAGCAAGGTGAAGAATGTGTAGTGCATAGCAAACCTTTGATGTCCTCCTTCTTCAGAGATTCACTCTTGTGTAACACTTTCCAAACCCGGAACCACCTCATAGTACTCATTTTGCCTACAGTTTCACCTCTTTTTTCCTGTGTAGAGACGATCATCGGCTCAACAAATGCTACACAGGAAATGCTACATTTTAATGAGGCACATGTTAAGGGCAATTTTTTTTCTAATCTGTAGATATGACTCGTAAGAATCAGTGTGTTTGTCCTTAACATGTAATTGAAAGTCATGAGATCTGTTAGCAGACAGGAAGAGAAGGTGAAGCCTCGGGAGACTTGTCTAGAGCAGTGAGGGTAACTAATGATTCAGAACACAGCCTCGTGGGCGTAAGAATGTCCTTTGGTCTGTTTCACAGGATGTAGACCTGCCTGTGCCAAGTCGTTTGACACTTCTCCTGGAACTGCTGCAGCTGTGAAGTGGTGGGGCCCCTGTGAGGCTTAGACAAGAATGTCTGTTTGAACAGCCCTGTAAAAATCAGCTGCCTGCCATCAGACAGTATTCTTCTCATGGGTGCTCTGTAAACAATTTACTGTCACATTTGGATTCGAAGTATCTAGGATATCCCTTCCTGACCTTCTCCCCAGTGAGTTACAATGATGGAAAACTGAAGTTCTTCACTAGATCTTAGAATATATCTATCTATCTTTCTTTCTTTCTTTCTTTCTTTCTTTCTTTCTTTCTTTCTTTCTTTCTTTCTTTCTTTCTTT